AATCATAATAAAATTTGAATCGAGCATCTGAAACATTATTTGAATGCATTTTCCAGTATTAAAGATGTCGTTGCAAAGGCAACATATACACTGCATATAAACTATATTAATAGCAGTATAATTAATTAACTCTCAGGATTTTGATATCTTTAAAGGACACTTCACTCGACTATGTTTGAAACAGCGATTACCTGTTGTCACTTCACTGCAGTACACCTATGCGATAAACATTTAATAACCTACGAACGATGATGCCGATAAAAAATTGAAGAAGACATGCCATTCCCAGAATTTCGTCATCCTTCGAATAATTCCTCACTCGCCTTTATTTAAGATCTTTAAACTTTTTTTTTTCTTTGTCAAACCTTCACAATGTACTTTTTGCAGATGCCGTTATCAATGCGCCCCTTTGTAATAGAATATGCTGCCAAGGCTATGCGTTGATCATCAAACAATAACCAGAATTTATGTTTAGATAGAAATTAAATGAACAAAACTCGTTTAGATACATTTCTAAAAATTTATCAGTGCAGACAAGAAGATTAATATTAATTAAAATTAACTTGCTCTTCTCTTCAAAGCTAACTTATCCCCTTTGTTCTATCTTCAAAGAAGTATCTAATTACAGTAAAAGGATTTGGGTACTTAATTAGGAAACGAAAGTCCTGCTAAATACAACTTAACGGCATGTCAGTCCCAGTTAATTGGTGGCCGTTGACTGAGTTTCTGAGGTTGGTTTCTGGAGTAGCATTATATCATTTAACCATCCCATCAAGCTGTGAATTTACATAAGGGCGCAGTTCTCGTTTCTGTGATGCCCATTAGCCCAGTGATCTTGAACAAAGCCCAGTCAAAGTTCCTTTGGTTGGCATGCAATTACAATAGTACTCCATATCGACCAATTCGCTGATTGACAAGCTTTTCGACAACGGCGTGTGCTTCCTGCTTTGGTATCTCATATGCTTCAAGCAACTTGCTAAAGTAATCCATAACTAGACAAGATGTATCGGTTACACAAGTCTGTCATTGGGAATGGTCCTGCAACGTCGGCTGCGATTCTCTTATATGACGTTTCCACGTTGTACTGCTGCGTTCGTCCACGACTCCCTGTCTTCGGTCCTGAACGGTGGTTAAATTACAACAGATCGACGCCAGCTCTTGCTTCTTCTCTGCAGATGAACAATGTTTGCAGTTTTCCATACAAAGTCTCCGGGATGGTCAATCTGTGTTTGCCAGGGCGATGCTCCATGTCAAACTTATACTGTTGAAGTTGTAACCATTGTGCAATCTGTTCTTCTGGGTTCTTGAATTGCAGTAGCTACTTCAGGGAGGCATACTCCTTTCTTAAGAGGAACTTCCATCCATATAGGTAGATATTGCAAATGTTCGACGGTTTCAGCCACAGCCAGTAGCTCTCGACGGGCAACACAATAATTTCGTTCTGGTTTCAAGTTTTTTACTAATGTACCCGATGACCTTTTCTTTTCCATATTGTATCTACTCGGAGTAACAGTCCACCACGCCCCACATTACTAGCGTCAGCATTAGGGTTCGCTGAACTGTGGGTATTCCAAGATTGAGGCTTCAGAGAGTATAATCTTCAGATGCTGAAATGCGTATTGGCATTCGGTTGGCCAATGGTTGGCATCCGTTTTGTTGGAGTCAGTCACAATTCCTTCTAATGTTATGACATTCCCTAGGTATTTCACTTCTCTTCTAAACACGACCGGCTGACAAGTTCTTTAAGACTTTAATCACGCTTCGGAGATGATCGTCAAAGGTTCTTCCTAATATGATAATGTCGTCTGGGTAAACCAAAGTTTAAGTTTAATCCTTGTAATACAGTGTTCATGAGTCTGTCGAATGTGGCCGGTGCATTGCACAACCCAAAAGACGACATATTGAACTGCCTTATACCATTTCCAGTTGTGAGGCAGTCTTCTCCTTATACTATGGATACATATCTACTTACCACTATCCACTTTTCAAATCATAGGCAGAGAATCATTTAGCTCCAGCTAGACTGTCTAGTGTGTCGTTGATACGGGGTAATTGGTACTGTCCTTAAGCGTTACATCATTTCTGTAATCTCGTGGAACCATCCCTCTTGCGTACCAACACTATAGGAAAAGCCCAAGATCTTTGAGATGGTTCTACTACACCTTGCTTATGCGTGTCTTTTATAAGATTATTGATTTCCTCTTGTTTCGCATATTGAACTCTTCTAGGTGGTTGTTTAATAGCCCTTGCTGTTCCAGTGTTGATGCGGTGGTATGTTAAGTTGGTCCTATGAAAGTCTTGACCTGTGACAGGGTGAGGACGAATTGAAAACGGCCAAAAATTCTTCCAATTGCTTGACTTGGTTCTTCCTGCGGTGGTTACTTGACCGTTTCAAAAGTTCTGATAAAGTTAACATTAAAATGAATTTTCATTTTACATTCACATTAATATTTGATGTTCACCACTATTAAATGTCAAAGTGTTTCGTATAAATGTTATTTATTTAATCTGTAATCTTCTACCCGACGTATCCCCTTTTTGTACGAAGGGTTTATCAAGATAGATTACATTAGACGGAGACATGGAGAACCTTTTTTTGTAAAATCACCATCACAACTATAATTAAAAGGTAAAATATGTAAAGGTGAAATTTCGCCAAAAAAGCGACACATTGGTTGAAGGTTACAGATTAAATAAACAACATTTCACCCTTTTTTCAAGTGGGATGATAAGGGCATTGACAAACCACCCACAAAGAAAGGTAACGTGCCTCGATGTTGATGTGGAAATTTTCCTTTAAAACTTCTGTGTAGTAGTAAATCGTTTGTTTCCGTTAGACCAACTAACGACGGCTCTTTCAAGAGACAATCGCGGCTCTTCAAGTTCGCTTAAAAAAAATAAAACCTAAAGCGGAATGGGCAGACGCGTAACTCAAATGAAGAAATTGGCTTTTGGTGTGTTGACGATCTTTGGATCGATATATAAGGCAGGCTAAAAAGTCAAATAACTTATCAAAATTTAGAGTCAAGTCCTAAACTAAAAACTACTAGTTGTATACCGGACTTATCAAAACCTTCTAGAAAAATGTTAGATCACCGTTCGCATTGACTTTACAAAAGTAACAGTTAACAATAATGAATAAAGTCGTATTTTATTTACAAACAAGTTAACTGAGTGCTGTGGTTGGTTACAATGTTAAAAATCCAAATAATAGAAGTTGAATAGACTAATAGTAACTATATATACTTATAAGTTAGAGATACTCATCTGTAGTTTATATGCACAATAAGTGCATTCGCAACTGGTATGACGAATATGTTATCATTTTACGACAGAGTTGTGTGATTACGATGTGTCGATAAATTACAATCTCAATGTTGTATCGATACGCGCATAGTTAGCCATTATAACTTCTAGTGGTGTTAAAGGATAAAATAATGACGGATCACTAATAACGACTATAAAATAGTTGAGGTTTTCCACTTTTTTATTGATAACAATGTTTAATTAGAACACTTCTTCTACCATGTCTTTGTTTCGTTAAGTTTCTTTCCTTCCTTGTTAAGCAAATTGCGTTCACTTGAGAGATAAGAGAAACTATTATAGTATGGTACTAATACCTAATATCTATTATATCCTAACATTGCTCTGGAACAATACTGTCCATTTTCACATTGGTACAATTTTTGTGGTTGTTTTGTAATATAGAGTTTGTTTCATTATTCGATTTAGAAAATTTAAAAATAACAAAACTGTCTGGCAAAAATCGAGTGCAATGCTGACGCAAAGTCTTAGTCTTATATTTGCGACAAGGAGCAGATTAATGCCATTCTATTGATTACAATTTTTAATTATACTAATAGACTACAAACCCATGCTAATAATCGAAGGGGTGAAACTACTCACCAAAAA